CACACACACACACACACACACACACACACACACACACACACACACACACTGACCTGCAGCTTCCACAGGAAGTCGAGCCTGGCTGTGGATTCCACCTGCTGAGCGTGAAGGTACAGGGCGAGGACAAAGACTGTGATCACCACTGGGGTCATGATCTTCAGAGGAACCTTGGTGTCCACCACACAGCTGCAGAGATGTCACATGGAGACATCAGTCAAGGAGGACTGTGACACAAACAAGCTGCCCTCTAAATCCTGGCTCATTGTCGGCAGGTCATTATGGTTTCATTCGTGGGCTAATGACCATGTTAGTTTAACAGATTGAGCTGTGATGACATCACTCTCACCTTGTCCCATTGATGTGCTCGCTGTGAGGGAAGGAACAGAGAAGAGCTGGTCAGCTGTGAGGACATCTAGGATGGGTAAAGARCTTCAGTGTACCAAGAGATGCAGCGGGAAGATGAAAACTCACTCAAAGTGTATGGCGTTGGCCATGACCAGCAGGTCCTGGTTGTCAAAGAGGTTCACTTTGGGCACCTCCATAATGAGAAGGTAGAGGAACTCGATGCAAAGCATGAGGAAGAGTTTCCCAATGCTGCTGGCCTGCAGGAAGACGGAGCAGGCCAGCAGACTCAGCAGAACACAGCATGTAAAGTACTGAAGAGGGAAACAAAGAGACAAGTATGCTTCATTTTAGGTTTCAAGCTCTAATTTRTGACTGTTCTGACAGAATACATCACATCTGGACTGGTTATAAACCATTGATATACAGTATATTACTGGATTGGGTGTGGCTAACACGTTGCTAGCTACATGGACGTTCTCACACTGGAGCTCTATTCTGCACTGAGGAGCCTCAACAAAATGAATGGAGGTCAATGGACTGTGAGGTGTCTTCCTGATGAAAAACTCTTATAACTTCATTATTTCTTGATCCATTTTTACAAACTATGGTTCAAAATAAAGCTGAGGAAATTGTGAATTTTATGGTTATGGAAATTTAAAATAGATAACTAATTTAAATGACTAAAACAGTGGCTTAAACTGAGTATTTAGCGTTTCACAGGTGTTTTTTCATAGAAATCAACGAGTTCTGACCAGCTGGATATTCATACATATATTTATTAATCAGAACTGAGTCTTCAACATTTAAAATAATAAAATTAATTTATATATATACAAAACTATAAAAGCTTTTGTTGTAAACTACAATAATTTTAACATCCGTAAAATCAAACTAAAAAAATACAAATTATTTCATGTCACAAAGAATTGTTTAATAAATTTATTTTTATCACAAAGTATTA